GCATTTGGGCCCATTTTGCCATAGGATGATTAGACATCCAGAATGATGGGGTTTAACAGTAAATATAGATGTAGAATGAGGGAAAACCTGCATCACTACAGTCAAAAGCTTCCTCTTCCCAGCCTGAAGATGCAGTAGTAATATATCCAGTTGTTTGTATCTGCATGAGGGTAATTTCTATTTCTTTTTAACCATCTGTGGGACCATCCACAGGTCATATTTTTTTCCTAAATTACAATAAAAAAAAGATCATAAGTTAAACCAACTCTATCTGAAGCGTGTGTCCGATGCTGATTTTTAATTTCAATTAATATTTTCTGGAGGACTGTTTCTCACTGTAAACTAGTTTTGACTTTTTTTTGTTTGTTTTAAGATATATATATATATTTTTTTTTGATCCAACACACCCTGTGCATTTCAATGAATTCGCAAACGCAATTGCCAGATTTTGAAGCACACAAAAATTACGAGTACTGGATGGTACCACTCCTTGTATAAACAAAGAACTGAGAACATTTAGACATTTAGTACACTTTGCAATGAGATCATTACCAAGGCAATCAGTGGTTTTCGAAAGGGACCATATTTTGTAAAGGTACCTTTTCTATTTTTCTTTCTTTCTTTTCTTTTTATATGAAAGTAGCTATTCCTATCTGAAACATTTAATAAATGCCTTAAGTCATAAAGAAAAATAATTTAAACCAGAAAAAAAATATTTTTTAAATCCAAATATATGGAAATAGAGAACTGGCAATATCAATATGAGGGGAGGGGGGCTGATCACTGGGACGTTATAATTTTCAAGGAGGTTTATAAGTATGTAAACACATGCACATAAGGTTAATCATTTTAATCATTATCATTTAACAGGTCTAAACCCTTCTTTCTATAAAGGAAAAATTTCTAGTTACCCCAGATCAAATCCTTTTCTTTAACATTTATAAAAAAATGGCTATTACCAATGGGAAATTGGTATAGTATTGGTAGTCAGAAAGCATTATCTTTACAAATAAGTGAATAAAAATCATCAGATGCCTGGGTGGGGTTGGTTGTGTACATATTTATGGCACCTACAGGCTATGGTAGCTTCCGCTGGTTGAATTTTTCACCAGAAAATGGTGCAACAGCTGTTTTAACTCTTTACGAAGACCATGCAATGACCAATTTTCAAAAATCCATATGGTTTTGATTTTAAAGTGGATATCATTGTGTACTATCAAATTCAGCATAAAATAGTTGATATCTCGCTTATATTCTTGGCCTTAGTATTAAAGTGCTCTTTACATTGGAAATTATTAATTTCAAATCAAAACAAGTTTGCCATCTGTGAATGGTACTGACCATTAGACTGAAATCAAACTGAAATAATATCATAAATATATATACTTTCACTTTTTCACACCAGTGTTTTGTATTCGGTACACATACAGACCCCTTTATAAGCTACAGTATATTACCAGGAAGTCTTAATGAAAAATATATTTCATGAGTAAATGTACACAAAATACATTTCTAAGGGAAAATCTAACAAACATTAAAATTTTAAAACATTGTGATTTTCATTTTTTCTGATACTGGTACTGAAGTGTTCTTTAGACACTAAGGAACTCATATCTATGGGCAATGAAAATATCAAATGCCATATTTAAGACTGCAACAAGTCCATAAAATTGTACCTGGCAGTAATTATTTTTGTACATAGTTTACTTATGCCCTTGCTCCTTCCAAGAAAAACCCAAGGTAGACTCTATTAGTCGTTTAGTAATTTCCTCATTCATGTCTACCATAGGCTAGCTAACTCCCCCTAACTAACGAACAAGAAATAACAAAATAAAATTAAATAATGATATATTTCTGTCAATGAGGTGAGATGTTAGCAAAAAGTGATAATAAAATATTATAGTATTTAACCCACTTGCGCCGGGTAAAAATGAACAAAAAATGGGGAAAATGTGCTAATTTTTTATATTTTTGGGGGAAATATCTCTACACTAGATGGCTCTGCCTTACCTGATTTCACTTTTCCTTGAATTGGCGGGAAAATGTATTTTTACTAGTGCTACGAATATCAATGATTATTTTTATTATAAATATTAAAAATATTATAATGTTATAAACATAAGTAAGAGCAAAATAAGATAGCATAAATTATTTTTGTAAATTAAAGAAAAGGGTAAACAGGCGAGGCAGGCAGTACAAGTACAAGTATAGCCATCTGTGTAAAAACAATTAAACAAGTAAACTCACAGTGGGCATGTCACGCATATGTGACACCCGGCGCGAATGGGTTAATGAACAAGAAATAACTAAAGAAAAAAAAATAAAGAAACTCTTTGCTCATACACAACAAAATAATTTTTTAACTCATTATATGTTACTACTCACAACTTTATTCTTAATATTCCTGGTTCAAATTTAAATTCTAAGAAGCCCCTTTTTATCTCTGACCCAAACCTAATCAAAACAGTAGTAGTAAACTATAACAATAAATGGGTGGGTAAAATAAAAGGATAAGAGTCTACATAAGCAGTAGATGAAGTCTAATGTTGATAATAAATATCTTCCACTTTATCATTCTGTTACAGCAATCTTAAAAAAATCAATTTTGGGGGGACATTTACCTCCAAAAAGTTCCCAATTAAATAATCTCAATAAGTTTTAAGACCTTGCAATCAATGTCAACCCTTCATAATAACAGTTGTGCTGCTAGGCTTCTGGCATTTCAAATTACAGTTTATTTTTCAAAAAATATATTGCTGAACTCTTTTCACATCCCCAGCTTCTGCTTTTTCTTTCTTTTTTTTTTCTTCAACCCAATGTCACCAGTGATGGTATGCATGTACTAGCCATGCCCATTGTCAGTTTAGTTGTAAATTGCCTTTACAAATAGATGGCTGCACAAGTGGTTAATCACCAAGAAGACAATTACTAATCCCACTTTTCTTGCCTGTTTCTCTTTTTATTTTCATATTACTATTAGTATTGTTGATAGCACTACTGATCATAATATAAATAATAATAATAACAGCATTTATGTTAATAGCACTTTTTTCTGAAGCTCAACGTAGAAAGAGGAAATCAAGTGAGGTCACATAGATCTACTAACAGGTGGCTTTGCATTTGTGGAGTTATCTGTGTGTAAGTACATTTCACAAAACAAGTGAACATTACATTTTCCCAGAAGCATTGTGTTGCCCTGGATAGCATCAATACATGCCATAGCAGGATGAGTCTGAATGTCAAAACAAAAGATGCTGCTCTCTGTTCTGAGCACTACAGAGAAATAGTGTTTTATGGCTCAGATAGTACTTGTTCTTAAGCAAAAGACTAACCCTTTTATCTTTTATGTTCTAACTGAAAAATAATTATCAGCTTGTCCAGAAAAATATCTTCCTGGCACATATGTGTTTAATGAGGACAATCTTGACAATAACCCATGCGAAGTAACAAGTGCTCCAATTATTTCCTGCAACACTTGGTTGATACACTCTATAAAGTCTGAACATCTTGTATTCTTTATATAAATTTCATAATCATTTAATACTCCATGATTTCAGTAAAGCCATCTAGCTTAAAGTTACATAAGATAATTAGTTAATGACTTTCAAATATTTTTTAATATGCCCTTAATAACTTTCTTGACAAAATTGTCTAAATCTGTTAAAACATGAGGCCAAAAGTAATCAATTATAATTTAAGATATTAATTTCCACTCAAGTTTTTTATTCAACAACCCACATAAGCATGTTATTTCATATGAACATTCTTCTTCAAATTTTTGTTTTGGAATCTAGTCACAGATAATAATGTTTACTATGTGACCTGGTTATGAATGGCATGGAACTATAATACAAATTCAAATCTTAAGAAAACATTGAGATTGGAAATCAGAAAGGCACAAGTTTACTGTATTCATTCACTGAGGTCAGTTAACATGAGGATCTCACTATATTGATGTATAGAATAATGCAAGACAATGCCTGCATATCAAATTAATTTCCAACCTAGAGACTTAAACTTATCTGCAAAACCCAATTCAAAATACTACAAAGCCTCTCAATCTAGGAAAAAAAATCCTGTTCTCACTGTAACTAAATCTTTTTTGTCCAACTGGAGATTTCTGTTTACTGTGCAGGCAGTACTATTTACTGCAATCATACAATGCCTGTCAAAAGCTGTCATTTTTTCTGACACTTTTTCATTATACATAAGTCAGAGATAGTGTTCACTGACACATCTGGGTACAGTTTGGAATATCCTGCCACATTCATGATATCACCCACAATCCCCCCTCACCCCATTGAAGGCCCAACCTCACCCAGAGCCAATCATACAGGCAGGCTTTCCTACATAGAATATTTGAATTAATTGGTAGTTTTATTTTCTTCCCCCAAATCCCCTATCTTTTCCTCTAACACATTCCCCCTCTACACACTACACTATTATGAATATCAATTACCACCTTGTATATCCTTGTGCTTTTACTGTATAATTTAGATATTCATAAATACATCTAAATAGATTTTGCAGGGTTTTAATTGTAAAAATATGATCAGCTACTTTATGCTTTCTTCACTGTTTGTAGCAATTTTCCCCATTTCTATTCTTATGCAAGGGGTAAGAACAATAGAAACTCTCTCTATATGTTATATGACAATGTAACATATATATACTAGTTTGTAAAATTGTGAAATGCCTACAACCAAAATCTGACTTAGCAAAACAAGCTAGAGGGTTTGCTGTTCTAAGTTAATTCTAACTATATCTCCTTTTCACATCTCAAGCATCCTGTGTCACTAACTTAACCCCTACAATCCGGATGACGTGAGAATCACTAAACGAAAAATGTTTGATTGATAAGCCAAGCACCCATCAGTGTGACTGATCAAGTAAGCCCAATGCCCTTTTTTGAGCCATGTGATGGCACTGAAGCATCTGGATCCAATGGGTTAACTAAGTCAAGTAACTGCATTTACCTTTTTTTTGTAACTCTCATTTTG